AAACTTGAAGTCAAACAAAAAACAATAAATGCATGGAATACGAAGGGATAACGGAGAATATAAAGTAATATTCACCCTCCTCGCACAAGAATCTAGAGCACCAGCAAACAAAACTCCCAAAAATGAACGGCAAGGATGTTGGATGACACGTTTAAAGTTCTTGCATAACATAGTCCCATACCTCATGCTGATTTTCTACCTGAGTAAGGCGCGTTCCTCGCCCATGTAAAATCTGTGCAGCTGGTCTCTACCAGTAAGTGGAAAACTTATAGAAAAAACGATGAGTTTCTGAAGAAGCCGTTTCCGATGTGGTTGGGATTTAAGCTCCGAGATTTTTCTGTTGGGGTCATAGACATATCTGGTTCACTATATTGCCCATTAGCTTGACCATTTCAGTGTCTCAAAAGTGCGAAATCCGCCAAAACGCTCTCTCGTTTTCTTTTATGTTTGGTTAGGTTTTGGAAAACTTATAAAAGACAAAAAGTGTTTAGAAGCTGTTTATTACGCAAACGAAAATTTATGCTTCAAGTTTCATCTGCGGAGGTTATGAAAATATTTGGCCGAGTACATTGCGTGTCAGTTTGACTATTCCAGGTTCTGAAGGATGTGGAACGTTAGTTATTGTGAATCAATAGCGTAAAAAGTACCGAGACGTCAGTTTTTGTTAATAAATAACGTAAAAAACAATATTGTGTCTGCTCATTAAGAAGACACTGAATTATTGATGTACACATTTGACTGGTACTGACCTGTACTACCAACGATCTCGTTAATCACCGAGTAACTTCAGAAGACATCAGTAAACTCTGACTACCTCAAACCGAGCTTACTAAGTCCCACATGCTTGAGGAAACAGGGAACATCACATTTTCACAGTTATGCTCTTTCTCCATTACCATTTTTAGTGAGAGTGTAGGCACGAGTATCACCGGGATTTGCCATAGCAAAGATTTATTCCTATTTTGCCTTTCAGATAGAAATGCCGAAAAATGTCGAACTCTTTTCAACTTGAAAGACTCCTTTGAGTAAGTTCAACAAGCACGAAACCCCATCCCAAACTAACAATGCCACAAAATAATCTGAGTTACAGTGGAGAAATCAAAAATTGCAGTAACTGCCACGACCGACTTTCTATTAACCTCGGCATTGATTAAGTGATTTTGTTCGTATTTTTTTGAGCAAACGCGAGGTGTTATTGTTCTTTGTTCACGATTAAGCTGACGTTTCGGCGAATTTCGCCTTCTTCAGAGCCTGGAAAGGTCAAGTTGATAGCAACTCACTCGGCCAGACGCCTCCATAACTAAACAAAGAAACCCCAAACCAAGATTTCAATCACTTTGAACACAGCTTTGCACACTCACCGCTTTCTATGAGGTCTCCACTAAGTATGTCACGTAGAGACCAACCGCACAGAAATCACGTGGAAGTATAATGTGCCCCTCACATCAGAAAAGCAGTTTTATATACTGCCCTATATCACGCGTGATAATGAGGCATTCTTCCCTGCGGTTCATTTTCGGATTTCTGGAATTAATCCAGAGTGCCTCGAGGGTTTTTCGCGCCTGTGTTCTCGATTCGCGTGCGAGGATCGTGACACATACNCTAATTTCCACTAAAATATTGTCAAGTGATTTTGTTCGTATTTTTTTTTGAACAAACGCGAGGTGTTATTGTTTTTTGTTCACGATTAAGCTGACGTTTCGGCGAATTTCGCCTTCTTCAGAGCCTGGAAAGGTCAAGTTGATAGCAACTCACTCGGCCAGACGCCTCCATAACTAAACAAAGAAACCCCAAACCAAGATTTCAATCACTTTGAACACAGCTTTGCACACTCACCGCTTTCTATGAGGTCTCCACTAAGTATGTCACGTAGAGACCAACCGCACAGAAATCACGTGGAAGTATAATGTGCCCCTCACATCAGAAAAGCAGTTTTATATACTGCCCTATATCACGCGTGATAATGAGGCATTCTTCCCTGCGGTTCATTTTCGGATTTCTGGAATTAATCCAGAGTGCCTCGAGGGTTTTTCGCGCCTGTGTTCTCGATTCGCGTGCGAGGATCGTGACACATACCTCGAAGTCGTCCCCGTTATGTCTCTGGGTCCTATGCGTGCCTAGCGGGGTATTTGGTCTATTTTTGCCGGCTAGGTGTTCTTTCATGCGGACACAGAGGGGTCTACCCGTTTCGCCAATGTATTCGTCACCACACGTCTTACAGGAGATCAGATAAACTATACCCGAGCTCATGCAATCACCGTCTCTACCACTGGGGCAAATTATGCAATTTTGAGTTGCACATAGACGGTCATATAGGCGGTTACGAACTAGCTGGCGCTTAAGATTACTCGGTGGTATTTCAACTACGCTCACCGAATTCTCTAAGCCCGCCCTTCTTAAGCAGCGTTTTATAGCTGTACTTATATCATTTGAGATGAAGGGTAGGATAAACGGAACCCTTCTATCGCTAGAGTTGTCGTTTGGAGGCCTACGATTTCCTCTACACCTATCCAGAGCTACAGTTTCGTAGCCATTAGAAACGGCTATTTGCCGTGCCAAGTTCCGGGACTCCTCTCTCTGCTCTCTTCCCGTGCACACGTTGGTTGCTGTTCGAAACATGTTTCTTATAAGCGCCCTTTTCGTGTGAGAGGGGTGAGAGGAGAGGTAATGAACCAAGATATTTGACCTTTCCAGGCTCTGAAGAAGGCGAAATTCGCCGAAACGTCAGCTTAATCGTGAACAAAGAACAATAACACCTCGCGTTTGCTCAAAAATACGATCAAAAATTGCACTTTTCTCTTAATTATTCTTTGTTCACCTTGGGTTTGGTTTCCACTTCCATCGATCCGTTGTCAAGTGAAGTGAGTATTTCGGTGAGGTTTTCCCGAATTGTGCACAAGTATTTGCTGAAATAAAATGATTGCTAAGCAGCGAAAATCAACTTTGTAGTTGCAGAATCGGCTAATCAACTGAAAAAAAAACTTTATTAGCAATATTTGCTACAACTCACCTTACCCGCTCATCAGTCTTCTCCAATGTGATCGAACCATTCACCTTCTCAACTTCGCCGTGAATCATTTCCTTCAGACGTGTGGATTCGAATCCATCCAGTTCTGAACATTCAACCACGAATTTTTCCCTCTTGTGCACAAATGGCAGTTCATGCAGTACTAATTCACTATATAGGTCCTGCTACTTTTCTGATCAGTAGTTATATTAAAAACCGAGGTCAGCAGTAGCACCTGGTGTGCATCTATAAGTACCGTAGCTTTGCCAGGAACATGCAGGCAATGCACTGCATCTTCATTAGGCTGTGAAATCTGTCTACATGGAGTGGCCCAGAAAATGAAGGACCTGACAATGCGATATTCTTCACAGTATCATTCCATAAATGCGTCTAGTACCTTTAAGAGACAACCAAGTTCTACTATTCTTATTTTCTACTTTACAGCACACTATATTATTACATTTTTTACATGACTACATCTACTGTGTGGATCACATCACTTCTCGCATTCGATTCGTTTCCTCGGATTCCTCGTTCACAATGACCTTCGAACACTGCGTGTTGTTCCGGCTGCTGTTTGAGTTTTCTTTATGGATGTCGTAGAATGGTGGTCGAGCCAATCCTCCTTGCAACTTTAGAGATAGGTTAATTAAGGCGTTCCCACGTGGATCGAAGGAGAGTGTTGGGGTGAGGATCGAACTACCATCTTAGCTTTCCGATCGACGGCATCACTAAACACTGCGATATCCCTACCTCACCCCATACTACTACATTGTACTTTTTATCTGTTCTATTACATAAAGGAGTTATTATTTCAGCGCTTAGTTCATAACAGAACTGCATTCACACTTTCCATCCAAAACAATCCCTAAAATAAGTCGCAGATTAACCTACTATTCTTTCTAGTTACAGCTTCGATAAATATATGAAGTGTTCCGCATATTTCTCATCTAAAACCTTTGACTTTGGGCACTTGGACATTTCCCATGAGCTGGGCTAACTTCATTTATTTTCAGTAATAAGATCTCGCGTACATCGACATTATGGGTGCCGGCTCTGTAGCAACTGAACGCGCCTCTCACTAACTGTTTCACTAGCTGACGTCATAAATGGAAACACCCTCACTCAGTGTCACGGACCGGGTGATGTATTGTTGAGTGAAACCTTTGTTTCTTCTCTAGAATTCTCAGTTCGCTTTGTCTGAGCACCAGGTTATAATCACAGCCGATTACAAGCTTTTATGTGCTGAAGTGGTTCACATTTAACTAGGTTTTCAGGTGGAAGTGTGGAACTCTTTCTCAACTAGCGATACCACGCTGGTGGACGGTCCTTTGCTGTACGACGATATTATCTAAGGTACACCATCCAGCCCTGCACAGGCAGCAAATCGCTGATTGTTCACGTATATATCGGTGAAAAACTCATGGAAAAACACCAACACCTCCGGCAAGCACGTTCCACATTTGATAATGCATTTAACAATGCACTATCTGGCCTCATAAAAACTCGAGAAGAGAAGAACGGAAGTTATACTAACCCAGAATGGATAAGCATAAAGACCAAAGTTCTTTAAAACTCGCTAACCGGGATTCATATTAATTTGAACACTAGCTATGCTGCAAGTCTCATGGAGAATCAACGCCAGCCTTTCAAGGTGATGAATAGCTGATTGGATATCGTCGTTGACCTGGAACAAAAAGTCCTTTCATGTGCATCAATTCAGTTTATTTAGTCATTCACCTACTTCGAATACCGTTACAATACGGCAAGAAATGAATTAACTCTGAGAGAAAATATATCTCAGTTCCTATACCACATTAGAACATATTCTTTTCGAGACAACCACCTGTGGAGTAAGTTTCAAGCAATCGTTTGTGGGAACACTTTTTCCGGCACGTATAGCAAGCCTCTCGCATTCCGACAGAGCACTGTTGACCATGTCCACTAATTTAGAGACATCACACCCATCCATTCCAGGCTAGAGTATATCCATTTATTGCCGAAGCGGCAAAAACAATAGAAGTGCTTGTACCATAAGGAAGAACGAAATTCGCTGGTTGTTCACTTTGCACCATGTTATCCCGCTTACAAATTGTTGACACGTATTTCTCAGCCAAGCAGATGTATCACAGCAATCTGCACTGACATTTACTGATAACACATTCTAAAAATCACTCACTCTAACAAATCATTAACCCTAAAAGGCTGTCAAAAGTGAAGTCAATAACTCTTTAACTATAGGTACCTGGAAATAGATGACGACTTTGTCCATATTTTCAAGCGATGTCTCAGCATCTAATCTGCTTTGTCTCAATAGTTCAAGATAACCATCGATAACTTTTTCTTGAGTGCTCATTTCGGGCTGCAGCTGGGCAAGACGAGCTAGGTCTTCCAACGATATGTTGGTCAATGCACTAAAACAAGATAGATACTACGTCATATCTAAACAACCACTTCTGAGTCAAGATGGGCGTCATTAGCCTTCTAGAAAATGTTATGGAACTTTAACAACTTTTTGCAAAACTCCGGACCGCAGGTGTCAGCAGTGGGGATCGAACACGCTATTGCTCTTTCCGAGTGCTAACCCATTCACCACCACCACACCAAGCGGGTCCTTCGTTTCTCCCTTCTTTCAGCTAGTTTTCTACCTGCCAGTGCCATCAGCAATCACCCGCTAACGGGATTGACCTAGCGAGCACAAATCGGCATTGAACCCAGCTAAGCTGAGACTGTAGTCATTATGTTTCAGTAACTTTGGTCTCTAATAAGACTACACGGAAATAAAGACCATTAAATACCGTTCTCATGCTTTAAAAATTATAGGATTCGACGGATAAGACCTTACGCTTAATGCTTTTCCGCTTATTCTCTTCAATGGAATGAAATTAAGACACTTCTACATAGTGAAGGTCTATTATTTCTTACCTCTCAAACTGTCCACAAACGGTTACCAGAGCGTTCATTGTATAAGCAATACGTGCTGAATGAGCCCACTGTTCTGCTTTGTGGGATTTTGTGACATGCTCACGACGAGTACCACCAGGAACTTCAGGAAACTGCAAATCTCATCTTTCTAATCGTAAAATCGAGCATCATTTGTTGTGAGCAGCATGGGTGTGTCACGAACAGTGTGTTTCACAGGCATGACAAAACCAGTCCTGAGTGAGGAATAAGGGACATGATTTTTACTCCAAACTAGTTATATACTGAGTTAAAACGAAAGATTTCCAACACGGTTTTCTACGGGATTGTTCGGAAATTAATACATTTGTAGTTCCATACTCTATACAAGTTTTAGCAACAGTTTCTTTTGAATTCTGTACTATTTTATACCAATTTAAAACTTTAAGCACTTTTTGTCTAAATGAATTACAGTGTAAATCATATTGTTAACAATTTTTTTTCATTAAAAATTGAGATGTCAAAATAGCAACTTTGACAAATTTACTTTTATGAATTCAAACAGTCCTAGTGAAGCTCAAACGATTCGAAACATTAATGAGGTATGTGGTCAAGAATAATTAAGGAGTATAGCGCAACGTTGATTCCAAAAATATCGTCGTGGTGAATTTTATCACGAAGATTCTTCAGCGCCACTTTGCTAGTGACGACGATAAACTGCAGGCTACAGTGGAAGTAAACGGATGCCAATCAAAAACTTGCAGTTCAAGCGTTTATACTGTTTTGGGACATCTCAAGAAAATTAGAAAGTCAAAGAGCTCTCCAAATGGATGCCGTAGGTGACGCGCAGCTACATACCGCCTAGACGCTCTAAAAGTTGAACAAGTTAGATTAGGAAACTCTGCCTCATCCGTGGCAACCTAGGTGGACCTCTCGTCTAGCGAGTACTTCTTCGAGCATATCGACAACTTTCTGGGCAAAAAATGGTTTCCAAACTGGGCTAAGGCCGAAGCTGCCTTCTCTCGACTTCATCGCCTCCAGAACTCCAGAGATTTATTGCAACCGGTACAGGTACACCGCAATAGCGATGCGCATTGAGATCAAGATGTACGACCCAAAACGTACAGCAGCGTACGTATTGATGGCGTTGAAAGGGTTAAACTGACATAAAATTGAATCACCTACCCGTTCCGCAACCAATTTCAAAAGAAGTCTTGCCTTCGCTGACAAACGAGAAAACAATACATTCAAAATCACAGCGTCGTTATCACCTATAAAGCAATATGTGAATCACAATGCAAAAGTCAATGTCGTCCTGTAAATAGACATGAGCAATACCACCAGCTTTAGCAAAATTATCAGGTAGGAACTGTTTCAGATAACCCATCTCCTTCCTTGCAAACTCTAGTTCAATAGCCAAGATCTGACGCTCAATCGACTGGAAAGAAGCATAGATGTATACACAAGAATATACGCGCGTATATACACACACATATACGTATACGCATACATAATATATATATGTATATATATATATCCAGAAAATAATAGAAGGTAACATCAATCTAGCCTTATTCCATGGAAAGAAATATTTACCTCAGCAAAAGTCCTATTTGCATTTACTTGCATTTGACTGGCAATGCTTGCAATACTACTCTCCTCGGACTTACGCCCTAATAACTGTTCCTGATACTTCAGCACCTTAAATAGGGAGATACATTTAGCATCTGCCATGGAAAGTCATAAAATGTACTATATGTACTCAAATGTACTAAATTCACTTAACACACCTAATAACTAAATAAACTAAATAATACCAGGAAATACTAATGAAATCTGTTTGTCAAAGCTGCTTGCTAAGTTTAAAGATGAGCACACTCTTATATTGTGAGACCCTTTATTTTAAACCTTTTTGAAATAACCTAATCCATGATAGTTCAACTAACTCCTCACCGACACAGCTACTCTCGGCTGAGTCGCTTATCCGAAGAAAAATGATATAATCCAGATTCATGTGTTTTTTCTTTCACCGAGTGTTGTAGCCAATATTGCAATGCTGTAAGTAAAATTTGAAGTCACCTGATCCTTGAGATCTTGAATCTCCTCGTTCAGCTCGCCGACTTTCTTTCGAAACTTCATTATAGTTGATACAAGTTCATCTCGATGATTTTCTTCTTGTTTCATTCTTATTTGAAGCTTGAAAGTACACATTGTCGAAGCAACTTTATGAAATCGAATTAAGTTCTGTTTTTTAATTATAATAGAGATACACCTCATTTATTTTTATATGAAGAGTTTCAATCTCCCCCAGTAAAGCCTTTTCGATAAGTTTTTGCTCCTCAAGCATTTGTTCATCCATATCACGGTGAGCCTCCAGCTCATCTCGATCTGCTTCGAGTTGCCTGAAATAACATAAAATTCATACTGTTTGAAGGAATCACGCCTCCCAACGGTTTACCGCCTCATCGTGGCTGAGAGGTGTTCCTGGGTGTCCGGCTGGGATAAACAGCGGGAGATTCATCACTCTGGCATTTCCTTCCCATCTGAAGAGTCCTGCGTTTTCACCAGGAAGTCCACTTAAGAGTAAACCAATACAAGGATCTACCACCGTTTTAGTATCAAACTAGTCGCATGGTGACAAATCTCCCCCTGATCCACAAGGGCGGCGACTGCCTGGGGAGAAGACGATTTGTGGCAGACTTTGGTTAGGCTGACCTCGGAACTTCAGGAAACCACAATGGCTAAACTAGCAAAACTTCGAAAAAGTGGAAATTTCGCCAAGGTCAGCACAACCAGTGAGGATGGGCCATTCAAGTACCCAAGTAAAAGAACCGCGAGTAATAAACCAAATAAAACAATATGAAAGATGAAACCTATAAAGAAACCTGATCTAAGGACAATATTTAAAGATGTTCTGGAATGAGACGCAAAAATTCAACTTTTATATGAATCACACCTAATCTGAGTCTCCATTTCCATATTTTTGTTCGCCAGGTTCATCACCATCTCTTCGGCTCCCATTGCAGCTTCAATCTAAAGAAGTAAATTACAATACTTGTCTACAACGTACTCAAGACAAAGGTTAAATTTGATACAATCTAGACAGTTGTGATGAACAAATCCTACAAGGGTTATGTTTTCTAACTTAACTCCTCAAGTGAACCATGTAAATTTCGGATGTATGGATGCAACACAAGCACACATCCAAAATAAGAGAGAATAAGAGAACAGAAAAGTGATCGCAAAAACGCAGCCCATCTCCTATAAAGCAAATAGTCCTGCTATCCACAATTAGAGCCTAAAGTTTTTCTCAATGATTAGTTTACAGAACAACGACTGGTAATTCAAAGTAAAATATGGAAATAATTTTCAGACGTCGTGAAAAAGGTAATCGATCTAACCTGCTCTTGGTAGTCTCGAATGCGCATATCCGAATCTTCTACCGTTTTTCTAGCGATTTCAGCTGCTCTCAGAAGCTCAACATTCTCAGCTCGCAAAATTTCTGTTTCTTTAACGGCCGCAACTTTCTCCACCTGTGCGGCTGCGTTTATATCACGCAATCTAAACCCCACAGTCGTAATATCCGTCTCGTTTTCTGAAGTTACTAAGAAGTAAAAAGATCAGGACTTAATGAGTGCTTCCTTCAGTCTTTCATTCTGCACCTCCAACTGCTTAAGATGCACGCTGGTCCCTTCGCCTATAAGGGATACACCGTCAGCTGCCATCTCATTGCGTAAAATTTCTAAGTCTGCTTCGAGTTCTTCGTTCCGTAGTTTCAATGAATCAAGCTGGAAGCAAACAATCGTGATAAATAGTTGTGAAAATTTTCGTAAACAAAGTGTGTTTATGGATAAACAGTCTCTTCATCCTACATCCTACTTACTTACTTGGATACTTGGATGACCCATCTTCACTGGTTGTGCGGCCCCGGCATAATTCCCACTCTCCGGAGATTTGCTGGTTTAGCCATTGTGGTTCCTTGGAGCCCCGAAGTCAGCCAGACCAAAGTCTGCCCCAGGTCGTCACTACCACAGGCATTCGCCGCCGGTGCGGATCAGAGGGAGATTTGCCATCATACGAGTAGCTTGATACCAGGACGATGGTGGCTCCTGGTATTGGTTTACTCTTAGCTAGGCTTCCTGATGGAAACGACGGACTACTTCTCAACTTGAGAGACCCTGCTAAGGGGATGATGAATCCCCACGCTTTACATCGCAGCTCGACATCCTGGAACACCCCCAAGCCACGATGAGACGGTGAAGCGTTAGTAGGGGCTCTTCATTCTACCCAAAACAAGTATGGATCCGCTTCAAATGAGGTTAGCGTGATCACAAGATTTCCAAAGAAACAACAGAAAAGACCGGATTTTTGAAAAACATAACACGTACTCAACCACTTCACCTCTAACTGTAGTGCTTCCGCTCTCTCCTCAGCCATTTCCTTATCAATCGTTGCCATTTCCAACTGCTCAGCAGCAAAGTTTAGATCGTCTTGATTAGCCTCTTTCCATTCTCGACTTTCGATTGCTTCCTACAGATGGAAATAGAAAAAACAACGATTGGATGGAAAGAAAGAAAACCACAAAGACTACTCGAAAACCAACGACGAAAAAATGAGTTTTTCGGAAACACATTTACACACAAGTCGTATGAGGATAAAGCTTTGAAAACTCAAAAATAAGCCCCATTGTAATTCGGATACCTTTCTAGCCTCTTGAAGCTGACGCTGCAAATCTACAATCTGGTCAGCCATTTTCGATTTCAATTCCATCAGCGATTGTAGTTGGATCTTGCTTCTCTCATAGTCAACAAGCTTACTGTGGTCCTCCTTACGTTTAAGCCTACAAGAATGAAGAAAACAATCCTGACAATAGTTTCATTTAAAGAAGATTAAGCATAAGATTTAATATGGTTAGAAAAAAACAACAAAACCTCAAGGTTGCAAGTTTTTCAGAGAGATCTTTCACTTGTAACCGAAGGAATTCCTGCTCTGTGCCTTCATCCATTCCAGTTGGAACAGTATTAAGCACTGGTGACAATGGCATAAGCGGTGAACCTGTCTTGAAAGAATAAATTAGCAAAGGATATAACGAAAGATACGAGATATTTTCATAGTGGGTAATCCTCGAAATAACTAGCGACTTAGCAATAGCAAGTCATTACTACTCCTAACACCGGAAAGAACACACTTTACTTTATCTCTAGTTTCATACTTGTTTCATACTTTCACTTTCATATTCCTACTTTCATACATATTTTATGCATACTTTAATTCTCAACTCATTCAATAGTATTCATTTTAAAAAACGCTATGCACCAGACCATTTTTTAGACGAAAATACGGTGAATGCAAAGGTGACCAATAAACTCTTCCTTTGAGTTAGTTCATAAAATCAAACCTCCTGCAACTTCCTAACTTTGTCCATGACACTTTCCGGCTTTTCCGTTGGCATCACAGATGGTCTTTCTGTCTGCTTACTTTTTTCCGAGTTCTCACTTCTTTCAGTGCTCACTTGTGAAGCAGATGAGCTTTCTTGTGAGGTTTTCGGCTGAAATTCGTAAACTACGAAACTAACAAGAAGCTTATGCATGTCATTGACGCAACTTGCTAGTAAGATTTGAAGAAATCGAAAGGAAGTCATGTTAAGTAAATATCAATACCAGACGGTAACTCCTCAGTCATTAGAGAATTTCGAGAGTTCAGAACTTTGCCGATTCATGGGACAGATTTCTTCGAAATTTGAATACGTTCGACGGTAAGACCGTAAGAATTGGTAGCAAAATTTAACTTTCAAAAATTTCGAGCGAAAAAACAGCAATTGCAAACACAAACGACACACCAGGAAAACCATCTTGTTTGGCTGGCCCAAGACTCATTTGTTAATTTGCTTTCATATTCGAACTATTACCTTTGAAGCAACAAATACGTAGAAGAATTACAACTCATAGGCCTCAGGAAACCCGAATTTAGTCGCGACGACTCAAGAAAACTTTTATTCTTTAGGCAAAGATTCTTCTACGCTAACGGTCTTTCTTGAAATTAAGAAAATTCACTATGAGCTGAGATACGTTGGTTCAAAGTTGAAGACAGCCATTATTTCCACTTCGCGTGATTCCCATAGAGGACACGAAAATCGTGGCCGGTGCAAGCATGATAAATCTCAGCTTAGCCGGACGTGTTATTCCTTCAACCACCTCCCACCTCCCTCCCCTAATATACACATTTTTGTATTCAGCATTCGTAAAAAACTTGTGTGAAGAACTACCGGAGCTCGAACATCATTCTTTTTTTCCGAATCAAGCTGCGGAAAATCCCAGCACTCAAGTACTCCTTCTAAAAACTTTAGTGGAATTGCCATTAAAAACACATATAAACAAAGATGTGCGAAGAAATAAAGATAGTAACGAAAAAATATGGACAAAATGTATATCTTTTCCTTCATAAGAAGTTGATAAATTAACTGCATTTTCAGCTAACGTTCCGACATCTTCGTCTTCATTAGAGCCTATGGACTGATTAATGGACTATTGACTCAGATCATCGACTTTGATAAAGACGAAGACATCGAAACATTAGTCGAAAATAAAGAAAAACCACTTATCACTTATCAACCTCATGTAAGCTTACCAAAGAAAGAATACATATTGATTAGCTACAGGGAAAAGTCGGTTTTGAAATATGGACAAAATAGTCATCCCGAAACAAAAGGTGTGTGCTCCGCATTTGAATGAAAGAGAAAATTCTATATTATTCTAAACTGTTGACATAACGAACCTCGTTACCAGCATCCGCAAGCTTTGCTGACGACAGAACTTTCTGCGCAGGTGTTCTCGAGAGACGTTCTAGGGAAACTGAAGGACTTACCTTAGGACTGTCCTGAAATACTGAATACAGCGAACGAACAAATTTCGTTTATTTCGTAACTATGAGTTTACTGAAAATGAGGGAAATACGCTGCGAATAACTAACTGAATTCAATGTCGATTTGTGCTCCACAGATCAACCCGGTGACGGGTGATTGCTGATGGCACTGGTAGATGAAAAACTAGCTGAGAGAAAGGTGAAACGAAAGACCCGTATGATGTGGTGGTGAACGCGTTTGCCCCAGCAAGGGGTAAAAGCACGTTCGATCCACACCGCAGACACCGGCGGTCCGGAGTTTTGTAAATATCTCAGCATCATTATCAGCCAGGAAAATTTTGTCGACTTACACGTGGTGAAGAACGTGCACCTTTTTGAGCTGGTTGGACATCTTTTCGAGTCGCTGGTGTTCTCAAACCGCTGGTACGAGGCCGCACCGACTCTGGTTTCAGCTTAAAATGTTACTGTATCTCTGGAGTTGTGAAGCTTATTTCAGCATGGTGGCTATTGATCTGGATAGAAGGAAGTGCTGGAGAGAAATTTCATACACAACTACAAAGAAGAAAAAAAGTTGAATGAACCTCAATTCAGAGTGTTCCAGATTTGCAACATTAGTGTCATAGAAGTAGCCTCACCTGAGATGGCCTAATGAAGACACCGTGATTGGGTTCGCATGTGAAGTACTGCACACCTTGTACGGAACCATTGTTCTTGCCTCGTGGCTCATCAAGAATAACTCCGACCCATTCACCATCCGAAAATTGGACATCGCCACAAAACGCTACACGACCCCTCCCCATTTTCTCTAAAATCCATAAAGAAGTATATGAGAAATTGTCTAATGTAAGCCTGTGAAGTCTAACCACCATGATGCTGAGATATTTGCAGAACCTGGATCCCACGCTAGATCCGAAACCTCGATTACCTTTCCCGGAGACTCATTTGTTAGCCACTGCACTACTGAGGCCCTTGATCTGCCTTTCTCTCGACTGTCAACGGGAATGATTTGGAAGACGGAAATCGGTATCGAACCCAGTTAAGCTGAGGCTGTAGGTGAAATCACTATAACTTAACTGCTGACGGGTAATTGCTGATGTCACCGCTAGGTATAAAACTGAGAGAAGGAAAAGGCAAGGACCTCAGTGGTGCAGTGGGTAAAACGTGAGCCTCCGAAAAGGGTAGTCGAAGGTTCGGATCTGGTCTGGGGTCCAGGTTTTGCGAATATCTTAGCATCACTGTTGTTGTAACGAACATCACACCCTGGTGTGAAAAAAATTATAGGCAGTAAATAAAAAATTAAGCCTGTGAAAGCTTGTCGTGAGTCAAACTGCAAGAACTACTGGTAAGTCGTACCTGTTTCTACCCGTGCTCCTATCTCGAAAGGCATGGATACGATTTTGGTGTTCGACCACAGGCGTGATGAATTCCTGTCCACAAAAAGAGGTCCCAAATAGATTTTTGAAGAATGTAACAAGCAATTCACTTCAACTTTGTTGATCAAACACGAGGTTATTCCTTTACTCTTCGCTGACGTAGAAGCTGGCGCTCCAGAGGATTTCGCCTTTTTCAGAGCAGTCTACTTGACTTTCTAGGTTCTGAAGAAGACGAAATCCACCGCAACGTCAGCTTATTCGTCAATGAAGAATGAAATAACAACCACCTATTTGCTTACCAAGGATAAAGTGCACTGCTTCATAAATGCCGAGGTGATCAGGAAGACGGCTTTGGCAATGTAACAAGGGTTAGTAGAGAAGCCTAAGCCAAAAAAGAGGTTTGCAATTCTAACAGAATGACGACATGGCTTCAAGGACGGCATGGGAATCCTTTCTCTAGAAGATGCAGTTTGCCACGGAAATATTGATTGATTGACTGAAAGATGTTGAAGGCTGAGGCTAGTAAAGGATTTTAGAACGAAATTCCTCATCCACATGGTCTTTACCTATTGGTAGAGTTAAGGATCTACCTTCGGTTTCTAAATCGTCCTTGTGCGGTCGGTTACTTTTTCATTCCTACTTTCGTTTCTGATTTCGGTTTTAACAACTCTCCGAATCAATTAATAGGAAGACCGAGCGAAGGATTCGTCGCCAAAAACACACCTCCCTCTGATCCACATCGTGGTGAAGACCTGGATACGTCCTTGCAAGGTTACGTCAGGATTCCTGGGAGGAGTTGCACAACCAGCAATACGCCAGCCTCAGTACCCCGCACACCGGGCGCTCTCGTCTATGACGTCAGCTGGTGAGACGACCGGTGAGAGGCCAGGAAATCTCGAGTTACGCAGGAAGTCAATGGTACCAGATCTGACGAACACACACACGACATGCCATAGAGATTATTTCTTCCTATACACGTATAATGCCAGAACGCTCTCCACAGACGCCGATCTTCACGCCCTTCTTGTAGCCACAGATCCCATTTAATTTCATGTGATCGCATTACAAGAAACAAAAATCAAGAAGACTAACACACGCCAATTAAACAACAGGACCCTTGTGATCCGTGGGGAAAACGTCCCGTCACGAAATGTCGGTGGCGGAGGCTTTGTCGTCCACCCGAACATTGTCCACCTCGTAGACCATACGTGATCCTTTCCCCTCGCATAGCCGTCGTCCATCTTCAATTGTCGCATCATAAGAGGATCACTATCATCAACTGCTACTCACCGACCGACGCAGCTGATGAATACGAATTAAATGCGTTCTACTGTCAGTCGGAGGAAGGCATCCGCAATGATAAAGTATATCATAAATTTGTTGTCGGAGGTTTCAACGCCAGAATAGGAAAGGCCAACGTGAGCGAATACAGGGTCGTAAATTTTGGATTAGGAGAAAGAAATGAGAATGGGAACCGTCTCGCAGGACTCCTGTCAGCATCACGTCTCTTCCATGTAAACTCGTTTTTCCAGAAGAAAGAAAGCTGCCGCTGGACAAGAGAGTCTCCCAACGGCACGACTCAGATCGACCACATTCTGACAAACAGAAGATGGTGCCTACTTAACACATCGATAGTCCCGTCATTCCGTACTGGTTCCGATCACCGCCTTTTTCGCGCCACGATTCGATTCAGCGGCAAAATGGAAAAGAACTCTCTTCATCGACCACGAGGAAAAAGTCTAGCTGTATACGACGAGAACATTCTGAACGAAGTCCTATACAAACGTGACTAGCAGATTAAAGAAGACCCGACCGAAGAATACGAGCTGCTTGTGGAAGGACTGAAAAGCTGTGCCGAATTCACCTCAGTTCCTCAAGCAAGAAGATCGGATCGCATCTCCACCACTACTAAGGAGTTGCTCGAAAAGAAAAGGAAACTGAAGCTTGATCCTACTGCAACACGTTTAACATGGCTAGTAATAAATGCCAGATGCAGAGCTTTGCAGGAAGATCTACAACGGCACAAGTAGAAGAAACTACTGGAAGAAGTAGAGAAGAGAAGCAGTCTGAAAAAATTCCATTGGGACTTGTGTGATTATATCATTCTGCTGTCAGCCCTGATGAACGAAGATGGGATCACAACGTTGCTGAGATATTTGCAAAACTCTGGACCGCAGGTGTCTATGGTGGGGAACGAACGCGCCATAGACACCTGCGCTCCAGAGTTTTGCAAATATTTCAGCAACGCTGTGGTTGTATTTCGCTTAGTAACCTGCCATGAAAATTATAGAAGGCAGAAAATAAAACGTTAAACATTGAAGATGGGATCGTCAAAACCTCCCGCTATGATATGGAATTAATAGCGGAGACGTTCTACACTAACCTTTCCGTCCCACAATCTCCGTCCCGGACCCTAATATCCCCACTGGGGAAAAACCACCTAGAATTCTTCCGTCGGAGGTTCGAGTTGCGATAGAAAGCGTGAAAAGATGCACAGCTCCAGGACCGGATAATATTACCACCAACTTCCTTAGAGCTGGAGGCCAAAATTTACATGTACTTCTCACAAATCATATGACAACCTACCTTCAGAAGGAAGAAAACCCATATCAGTGGAGGACGTCGCGCATGGTCGTTCTGCCCATGAAAGGAGACCGAAGGGATTTTCGTAACTACCGTCCCATATGCTTGTTGAGTGTACTCTACAAGCTCTTCATGAAGATTATCCTCTCCAGCATATCAAGGAGATTGGATGAGGCGCAACTAGTCGAGCAAGCAGGATTTCGAAAAAGATTTTGCTGCATGGATCACATCCAAACCGTGTCCAGGGTCATCGAAATTTGTCGGGAATACCACTTGCCTCTAGTCCTAATCTTTCTCGACTATGAAAAAGCGTTTTACAGTGTCGAAATGAATGCAATCCTATCAGCGCTCGTCGACCAAAGAGTGGACCCGTCCTACATAAGAACTTCGTCCGACTGTTATCGTAACTGCACTACGAAAATACAGCTTTCCCATCGACCTCTTACCATACCCATAGGAGAAGAGGTTCGACAGGACCTCTCAAAGAAGCCACCGACCAATTGAAAGACCCAAAAATCCGCGCTTATCTCTTTGATTCTGCGGTCCTCCCAGCGCTCCATTATGCTGCAGAAACGTGGGTTGATACTTTAACTACGTCAAGAATGCTTCGCACTACTCACAGAGCGCTTGAGCGATGTGTTCTGAAATATAACCAGCACTCTCAATATGTGGCCGGAATTCGAGGCCCTGACCTTGGAAATCTGTCACACCATCGAGATGCAGAAGAATATACATCGATAGCCTCTAGTCCTCTAGAGAAACATAAATGGGCCGGTCACATTATGAGAAGAACAGACGACAGATGGACGAAAAGAACAGTAGAGTGGACTCCAAGAGAATGCAAACGTCCCTTTGGACGACCACCTACACGTTGGATGGACGTGTTCGTAAACAAAGTTAATCAACTGTACCCACAGCTGCAGTTATTTTACAGATCACGGTGTGAGACTCGGAAGCGCTACCATGCTCGAACAAGACCACCAACATGGACTACAATTGCAATAGAAAGGAACGAATGGCAAATGTGCTGGGGTCCGCACAACTCGTGAAAACGGACTGTATAAGTAAGTAAGTAAGTAAGTAAGTAAGTAAGTAAGTAAGTAAGTAGGGATCGATCTTAAATCTGGATAGTTTTGTAAAGTTGTTTAACTATCGTTCAACAAATATCAAGCTGCGATTTCGTACTAGCTTGATGGAGAAGTGATTACGGTTTCGGACCACGAATTTTAGGCCACTATAATCAAGTTCGAACACAACCTTACTGGAGAAGAGTGAAAAAGAGGACCAGTGAAATTTGTAAACTTCTGCTAACAAGATAAAGGTTTGTTCAATCCGATAGCCCGGAATTCCGAAGTTCTCGCAACTACACGTTCTTCAACGACATTTCCAGCAACTACTTTATTGTTGATTTCTTCGGCTACTAAATGCCGAGATAGAAAGATGATTAAAGATGATGACCGAGAGATGAATGGAAAAAAATGATAGTTGGTTAGCAAGGTGTCCTATTAGTATGGTCCGCATGGCAGTCGTTCATGGCCCAAGTGGTCCGACTTCACCAGCTTCAGTGCCTTTTATCAATTTTCCATGTAAATTCAAGTGCAATCACACATGGGAGACCACTGTGGCCGGCATGACTCCTTACAGGCCATTTTCTTTCCGGTAGATAGGTGGAGAAGGCTATTGAGACCATAATCACATAAAAATAAGAAACTCATTATTACGCAGTCCTTAATCACTATGATGGATCGTAAATATTGTATTAAATAAGTTAACATAAAAATCGTAAAGAATATGGAAATATCTCTTGCGTGGT